CGTGATGGAGATTTACCGCTGATTACAGAACCGGCTTTCTGACAAGATGCGCATTAAATATCGCATGCGATTTATCATGCAGCCCTAATATAAATATATAAAAACTATAAAATGAATGCATTCCTGCAGCTCTGCAGCTTACTTTGCAATGATTCTCTTCTTAATGACATCAATACTGACTGGTGGAAGTGTTTCGGGGATGTCCATGGGCCACTCGATCCACAATGTTGACATCAGTAAACCGCTCACCCACACGACGCCATACATGCTGTCTGCCATCTGCCCTGTACAGTGAAAACATTGCACAGCCCTAATATATATATATATATATATATATATATATAATACAGAAATAAATAGTGCGTCATTTAGCCGTGAATGTTGTCTAGTAGCACGAAATCCCCTCAAAATACAAATATTAAAGAATAAACATTTTTGAAACAAAATACTGAAACAAATGATCATAAGTGTGAGCCCTAAGTGAGGAACTCCGGAGGGTTATTGGTTGCTAAGAGGCAAATGATGCAGTCAAACCTCTTTGTGCTTTTGAAGACCCAGATGAACTTGACATGGTAGAAGAGCTTCCATCATCGCTGTCAGGAGGAATGTCTTCAGCAGAGCCATCAGAATCACTGTCAGACTGCACACTGACATCCTCATTACTCTTCTTCACTGAAGACAAATGAAGTGTTATTGATCATAACGGTCACTGGCTGATCAACAGCATGACTCTGCAGAACTGTGCCGTTATTCCAGTTACTACAAAACAAGAGAGACACCTTGAAAGCTTGGTAACGATGCAGGAGAACCTTCTTTTTTCCGAGCTTGGAACACAACCTCTCTGTTGACTGAACGTTTCACTGCAAAACTCTCCTCGGTGGCTGTAAGAGTCAAGTTTCTTCGTTAAAACCGATCTATTTAGTGCTTATGATAGGTTATAATAAAATACTCACCGTCTTTTTCGTCAAGAAAGCTGAGTGTATTGCTCTCGGAGCTGTTGGATGTCTCTGGACTGAGGGCTCGTCAGCGTCACTGCACTCACACTCGCGAGTCTTTGAACTAACGTTACTTGAAATCCCTCCTCGCGCCAAATCTGCTTTCTCCGTTGCCTTTCCGGCATCACCGCCGCCGAGCTTGTCATTCTCATCCTCATCACTGGATTCATTTTTTCTTTGCCTCAAATTTCTGCCTGGATTTTTATTAAACATGTCAAATGCAATCCAGTGTGAGCGTGAAACCGACGACTTGCCGTGGGGTATTTAGTACTTCCTGGTCGACGTTTAAAAACATTTCACAATAAAAGTCCTGTACTTGAATAACGAAATCGATTGTATATTTAATTAATTGTGAAAAGTGTAGTCGCGTCAAAGTCTTCAAATACACATGACAAATGTATCCAAAATGAATCTTGTCGATTTAAAAAGTGAAATTAAATCAGTTACGGCTGCTTAGCCCCAGGGCCTTTAAGCATATTCTTATATACAAGCTTTTCACTTAACATTTTATTGTTGTTTTAATATAAGCTTCTGCAGAATTAAAACTGGAAATGCTATCTTCAGTGTTTGCTTCCCTATTTATTTTGGAATAATAAAAAAATCGGTGAAAAATGAAAATATGTAAATTAGTCTTGCAACTAACTGAGGGTGCTGAAGCATGTGTTATACTATGCGAGTTATGTCTTCATAATAAGAATTCGGTAGACAAGGTCATGTCTAGTGTAATATTTGGGTAAAGGTTATGAGTAAATAAATTAGAAAGTAACATTTCCAGGATTTTTTTTTGTTGTTGTATGGTTGTCATACTATATGGGGTGCTGTTAGACTTTAAAATTACTAAACATTTTCAATGTTCTTAAATGCAATAATTACATTCATTAAACTATTTTCTGATGTTTTTGCAGAAAACGTGTACTGTTATAAAGTGTTATAAAAATATAAAATGTCATACTTTGTTTTTGAAACAAAGAATTGAGGGAGAGAAATGAGTGTGAGAGAGGACACAGGAATATAGTGAAAATGAACAGGGATCATAAGAGAGCGATGAAGAAAGTAAATAGAATCTAAATGATGCCTTAAAATAAAAACAGCCATGCAATTAAAAAATGACTGCACATGCAGCATGGAGGCTCTAGAAGAGTTTCTGATTGACCAAGTGACTAAATCACTGAAGTTTGTTGATTAAAATTGTTTTGTTTAAAAAACATGTCGATATTGTTTGTGTCAAAATTAAACGTTCTCCTTTGACATGCTTAAAGTTAAATAGAAATACTTTAATGTAATACTTCTCACCTTCTATTTAAAGCAATAACTACCATTTCTGTCCTTTAGTGTGACATAATGTCCTATGGTGTAACACAAAAGAACCACAGATTTGTTGATCTCAAAGTATCTTTAAAAAAAAAATCTTTAAAAAGTTCAGTAAAAGTGTTAAAAAAAAAGAAAAACCTGAAATAATCAAAGTTAGTGACCCCTTACATTTTCTCAAACATCAGACTTCGCACTACATAAATATTTGTACCTTCTTCAAAAATGGTATTTTACAAAAAAAATTTGTCAACAATGATTTTAGCAAATGGCTGCAATATAACAAAGAGTGAAAAATTTAAGGGGGTCTGAATACTTTCCGTACCCACTGTATATATACACACGCACACACATCTATAACTGATATAACTATTCTAATAATTCTATGGGTGACAACTTTATTCAAAGAACAAGATGAGTTTGATTCTTCCGGACTTTTGTCAGTGTATACGATGTTACTTCTAAAATATAAACAAATTTAGGTTTGGAGGATTGAGCTCAACACCGCTTTGAATTATATGTTTGAAACCAACAAAACAAGACACAAGACATTTGTGCAAACTGACTTTTAACTTGCAACCTTACAGTGACTTAGATAGAGCCCTTTGGGCAACTAGTCCAGGTCTCCCGTATAACTCTCCAAAGTTACTTCTAAGATGTTATAATATTCCATTCTATTACTGTGATGTTCATTTAATTCTTATTATTGTTATTATATTATATCTTTTTGTACACGTATGCTAAGCTTTGGCAATATTGTATCATTTACAGTCATGCCAATAAAGCAATTTTGAATTGAATTGAATTACTTCCACTGTTAAAAATGAGGCAAAAAAAACAAAACAGCAAACTGGTTTATAAAATGTAATTAAGCATGTTTCATAACATACATAGGGCATAAAACATTTTCACAAGGCTTTTGTGAGACTAAAATTCATGGGAAATGAAAAAATAAAAAAGAGAGAGAAAAACAAAAACAAAAACAAAAAATCACATACACAATAGAATAAAAGACAAAAAGGAGAACCAAAACATGTAATAGTGGTCAAATCTATAATGACACTCTCTGGACAACCACACACCTGTGCACAAAGCATTGAAAAGTACTGATCAGAACTTTAATATTGGCAATTGATTCTCATTCCAGTGTTCTGGACATACACAGGCAATGTTATCTGCCAACAACACAAATTCACCACAAGCAGTCAGAATCAAGATCAACTCGTTCCTGGTTTCTATCATTCATAACATGCGTTATGTGAAACAAGTTTCTAGAGTGGGTCGTTTATAGGTGACCATCAAAACCATATTTCCGAAATGTGCCACAGATTGTGTCAGAATTGTTCTGCATGCTAGTGGGGTACTGCTAACCAAACAGTTTCACTTTTATCATAGCATTACTAAACAAATCAAATCAAATATGCCCTAAGTCGTCTTACAAATGGTTTTAATTTCTATGGATGGTTTCCATAAAATAAAAGCAAAGGGAACACTAAACAGGCCAAAATCAAGTAAAAAAACAGTAAATATATTATTAAACCGTTCATAAACTGAGGACCGTCAGATACTACATACCACTGCAGATATTATTTCCAAGTAAAATGCTGTTTGAAACGTATGCCAATGCAACAAGTGTCTTTTTTAAATTTCCATATTGAACTATTTAAAGCGTGACTGATCACTGCTTTCAGTGGAAGTGCACAACCCGTGGTAGTGCTTAGGTCAAACAGGTAAGAGTGTTAAAGTACATGATACAGTAGGTGTATATGGTTGTCTAAATGCTTTTAATATCCCTGCGATTACTTTTTAGTCTCAGACTTACCTGTGATGAAATGCATGTCCTTATTTTTAATTTATTCATTAAATTATTTTCCATTAACTATTACTTTAGGATTATGTTTGTATAAAATGACACTAGTCATACTTCTCTACAGCAGAAACTGCACATTATGAAAGGCCAAGACAAACAAACTAAGGAACAGGGTTTCACCCCAAATATCTTTCTTTTCTTGTCCAAAAGCTGCACTGCACTTTTTTTTATTTTTCATTAACAGCTCTTCGTTAATCATGGGTTTGATCTTTACTGGAGGAATTCTGACATGGAGTGATAAGGAATGGAGATGTGTAAAAAGGTCGGAGCTGAAGGAGCGTGTGGTCTAGTTCTCTCCTCCCTCACCTCCTTCTCCCTCATCTGGTGCGTTGTCGGATGTCCATAACTGATGGAAGAGGAAAATATGACATGGTCAGAACACATTTCATATTATTTTAGTATTCGTTATACAGTATACTGTTATAGTTTTTATTGATATTTTCATCTAGCCTTTATTTTTAGATTTTCGGTTTTCATTTTAAATTCATGTGTATCTGTAATTACATTTCCAAACATTTTTAATTAAATTTTATTTCAATTAGTAATTTTAATATTTCAGTCATTTGCAAAGGCAACATATTTTTTTTTTTTTTATCTAATAATATTTAAGCAATATTTCAATTAACGCAAATATTTCTAATAGTTTGTTAATGCTAGCACTGAAAACAATGGTCATTTTCTCCTTGACTGATCTCTTAAATTGCATCTCTCCGTTTTTTTGGTACATCACACCACTATATCAAACCATAACTGGTCATGTTTGCCCTCAAAAATGGAATCACCTGTGAGAAAATGAAATTTCTCTGCCGTTACTTACTGTGAGGTTGTCTCTCAGTAGCTGCATGATAAGAGTGCTGTCTTTGTAAGACTCTTCATTCAGCGTATCAAGCTCTGCTATGGCCTCATCAAACGCCTACATTTGTACAAAAACACATTCTTAAAAAATGAAAGTTTATATATCATAAAATGAAAGCTATACAGCAAGCATGGTAATTTAAAAAGTACCTGTTTAGCAAGGGCGCAGGCCTTTTCTGGAGAGTTAAGGATCTCGTAGAAAAAGACAGAAAAGTTGAGGGCCAGTCCCAGACGTATGGGATGTGTGGGCTGCATCTCTGTCTTGCTTATATCAAATGCTTTCTGATAAGCATCCTGAGAGTTCTCTATGGTTGCTGTAAAAAAAAAAAAAAA